TGCTTGTGCTGACGTTTCGGAAATGTACTATTTTCCATCATCGGGGTGATGGGTCGTGTGTTCCTGCTTTCCAAGAATCATAGTCTAACGTCATCTGTCTTGTATAGTAGCGATGTCTGACGATGGAGCTCTGAATGCGGCCAATCCGCGGACAGCACGAAGGTGAGAGCCCCTGCGTCAGACATCGCCACTGCCATTGTATTTGCCTGATGACCAATTGCTGAAAACATGCGTTTGCCAATATGACTTATAAATAGATTTTTTCAGCTCATCACCCAGCTCGACGTCTCTTCTCGCCGGTAGGTCTCTGACTCGTTTAGTGATCACCTATCGCAACAGCATGACTCCGTACTCCCCGATTAGCGCGGTGTAGTCTGCAACTGCTTGACAAAAAACACCATTGTATTTGTGCAAGAAAAGAACGAAGTCCTTGTGCACAATATATCCTCCAAACAGCTGATGCCTGCACAAGTATAATTGCTGAGCCACGAAGCAGGCCTTAACACCACGGATGCCGACCCAATCAATCTCGTGACAACGATCGAGTCGATTCTCAAACAAACAGGGGAATCCGATGAGACAAAAAACACCTCATTCGGCCTATGGGACTTCATAGTTCAGGTACCTCAGAGGATGTCGGGTCCTGGAGATGGGCGGAATTCGACGGTTATTCGTCAACATCAATAATTGCTTTATCCTTGACGTCACCTTCCGGATTCCACGTACTCCAATGAACTTAGCCATTCGCATCGTCCCACTCTTTGTGTCACCCCAGCAATGGTGTGATCCAGTTTTGCGGTGTGCTAATCATACGGAGGCCAGCAATTCAGAGACTGATGTTGTCAAGCGTCGCAGCTTTCTAACTGTGTCTTCCCCTGATACAGTGTACGCTTTCACTGGTCCGAAGTTGCGGGGCGACCATCTCAATCTCTGCATACCGATAAATAAGCCACGATCCACTGCTAGCGGGATCAAGGTGGAGGACAGTGTGTCAAATTCAAAGGAGCAGTTGCCTCTGGTGACTAAAAGCATCGTCTGTCGGCTCCACTGTTTGAACAGCTGTTTTCGGCAGAAGGCCAAAGAACGAATTGAACTTGTCGTTAGACTGGAGGACCTCACAGGGCCCGAGCCCACCATTCTTGGAATGGATCGTGTGGAGGTGTGCTGCTCTGCGACACAATCGAGAGATATTAATAGTCCGCTGGACCTCCTGTCCAACAGCCGTAGTAGTGCGGACGGTCAGACGGCAACGTCAGTGGCCTCTCCGATGTCTGGCTCTAGAAAGAGGAGCTTAGCGCTCACGTCAACCGATTCATCCTTCAACTCCCAGGTATTTTTTTCTGAATCTGACTTGCTGGCTTGGATGTTAGCATGGCGGTGTAGAGACAGCGTCGGGTCGAGAGTGAGGCCCAGAAGTTTAGGATACTGATATAAAGAAATGTCATTGCTCTCTACCTTAATTGGAGGATGGGAATTGTATTTGTTGGGGTCCGGAGTAAACAGATTTACTGAGGACTTGGGCGCGGATAGCTTCAGTTGCTTATCGTCTAGGTGCCG